GCTCCCGGAGCTCCTGCAGTGCCACCAGGGTCTCTCCCTGTCCCCAGCAAGGACGCAGCTCCCGGAGCTCCGGTGATCTGGGGTCTCTGCTCCCTGCAGTGCCTCGGAGCGAGCCCGCCGGGCCGCGGGGAAGGCAAGGACAGCAGCGATGGAGGGAGCACGCAGGAGCACAGAGAGGGGCTTGTGCAACTGCACAGGCTAAAGGTCAGAGCCTTTATTAAAAAAAAAAACCTGTAAACAATTAAAGTAGCCACTAATACGGGTGGTATGAGCGCAGCATTAATATTTAGGGGAGTGGAGGAAGGAAGACAGAGAGATGAAAGCTGAACACCTTTTTGAACCTCAGCCAAAGCTTTATCAACCATATAAATAAGAGAACATATCCTGCTCAGTGAGACACGTATTCACCCTGTTTCATTACATTCTGTTCTGTCCTCAGTCATGATGGATCCTGCTGAGACTCGTGTTTAACAGTTCCTTCCTGGAGTGGCTCGAGCAACAACAAGAAAAAAAATATTGTGAAAGTCACACCCCATTGAAATTGCATCCTAAAGGGACCTGGTGAGCACAGTAATTACCAGGATGACTGTGAGCACCAGGGCCACGCTTGGCTCAACGGCTGCTGTACGTGTTAAAATTAAAAAGGACTTAAAGCAGATGCAAGGAAAGTGGAAATTAGGGACCAAAGTGTAGGCTCAAGAGCGATTCATCATCCCTGATAAGGAGCCATTAGGCTGGACTGTGACGGGAGCAGAACCCGGGGAAGCTGGCAATTTTAAGCTTACAAATGCAGAGTAATCCCCCTGTTTTCAGATAATGGAAAACTGCATTAACCTTGTGATGTTTCCCTGGTGGCTCCAGCACATTCCCCCTCTTACCTCTCTGCTACTTTTTTTGCACCCTCTGATTTGTACAGGTTCTGATTTCCACCCTTTATGGCCAATCCCAAAAGGTTTGGTAGGAAAGATCAGAATCCAGCCCCGTGTTATTTCAGCCGGAACAAAATTTCTGGCTTGTTTTAGCCATCAGGATAGCCTTGACATGCTTTGACTTGCTTGCACCAAAAATGTAAACAGCAGCCCTAAGCAGAACAATTAACATTGTGTCTCTGCAGATGTTTGTTTCCCTTGAAGGAGCTTGGAATTTGAGTGGGGAAAAGCAGGGTAGGCAGCGAACAGAGGCTAATGCAGTCTGGGGCAAACTTCCCAACTGGAGTTTTATAAACAGCCCAAGCTGCTTCCCTTTCTATCAGTGATGTCACTGCTAACCTTAGTTTGGGCTGCAGCCTTGCTATCCATCATCTGCCAGCTGCTATTCCTTCCCCACTGTATAGCAGCAGGAATATGTGAGGGCGACCAGAGACCCAAAGAGTTTCAGTTTCATGTGAATGGAAGCCAATAAGCTCCAGATTCCCTGGATTTTTCATACAAATTATCTCACCCAAGTCTGCAGATAATGCTGTCTAACAGTTGTAGGTTATAATTTCCAAACAGGGAGATAACCTTCATCATGAAGCAAAAGCAAAAATGCCATTAGCAGATAGAGAGGTGATTTAACTCAACCTAGCCATTTGCTCACAAGTCTGAATTTATGTCACCAGTTGTGATGAAATGAGTGTTTTCTTAGATAGATATGGACGACTAACACAGCGCAGAACTCAGCAATCTTCAAAGGACTCTGAGTTTTAAATTCCCTGGCTAAAGTCAAACATTTGTCTTTCTTATCACTTTCACTCAAAGGATGTGTTTTTGCAATATTACATCAGGTTCATTTGCCAACATAAGAGGCCAAAAGGTGATGTCCAGGAGATGAATGCTGCCTTCACTTACACGACAGTAACCCATCAGCTGCACTGGAGTTACTCTGGGATTCCAGTGAAGGACTTGACAGCAGGACCATAACACCCTGCAAGAACATTCCTTATATCACCATTGCAAGAGCTCCATAAATCCAGCACTTTCCAGCTGAGACATTTCAGAGGAGAGCTCAAAGTTGAGGTGATCAAACAGCAAGCAAAGAGGTGACCGAACAATGAACAGCAGTAGGACACTTGCCTTCCTTCCCCTGCCAAAAAACCCTGTTTGGTCAGAGTAATGCTAAATGCAGAGTTATTCTGTGTCTAAACCCTTCAATTATATCTCTTTGCAGCATGAGTCCTGGAGGCTTTGTGAGTAGGACATATTCTTTAACAGGTCACTTGCATTTTCTCTTTCTCCTCTCAAATGCCAGCACCTGGGCTGCTCTTGTATGCTCCTTTAAACTGTTTCTGAGCCAATCCTGTATGCTTCCTTGCAGTGCTGCTCTCATCCCTTGACAGGCCATGGAAATCAAAGCAGATTTCATTTGCTTTGGGAGCAGATGTCTCGTGAAAAAGCTTCTGTCTGTTTAGCAGCATGGCAGATTCATTCCTCCAACAGTCAAAAGGCTTTAATTTAGTGAGGTCACACAGTCAGAAATTGGCCAATTGAGCACTCACCAGAAAACCTCTGCTTCAGCCTGATGTGATCCTACAGGACAGAGAAGTACCTGCAGCATCAGGTAGAATGCTAGAGCATCTCTCATTACTCAGACACAGTGAGGTGGTCTCACTGCTGAGCGCTGTTATTATTGCAAACAGCAAATGCTGCTGCATCAGTTTGACTTCCCTGCAGCCTCCTGTGGGGCTCACAGCAAAGGCAAATGAAGACAGCAAAGAGGGATCGTGGGTCTGGACTGCCTCAGGCACAGGAAGGGCTGAAGGTGAGTGACTGCCTTATGCAACACAGGACTGCAAATCCTGCTCTGGTCGTTTGCCACTTTCCTACCAAGATAAACAAAACATGTCCCTACTCAGTTTGTGCAATTTTCTACAATGCCCTGAACTCTGCAGGTGACAGCCTGGGCGAGGGAACAGAGACAGCTCTGCACACACACTGATGGGAATGCAATACACGATTGTGACAGGTGGAGATCGTTTTCAAAAACTACCTCTGTACCACAGGATTTGAAATGTTTCTTACCTGAGGCTACCTGCCAATAACTACTGCTATTCTTTGCAGCTGCAAACACCTTCAAAATAAAGGCAAACTTCCAGCTGAGTGTGATGTTCAGACTCCAGCTCCAGCGTTAAGGTATGTGAAGAATTCATTCAACCTACTCCTGCATCTTGTTGAACAAAGATGAGTTGTTTTCATGCCTATAGTTTCTGGACAGTTGTGTCAAACCTTTGGCTATACCTAACCAAAGACCTGCCTAAATCCAGACGCATCACTGGATAAGTAAGTTTAAGTCATGCCACAGTGACATGAAAGAAGGCATCACAAAGAGCCAGCTTTGTGGCTTGAGAGGGATGGATCAACTGGGAATCCTAGGCAAGGATGACCAGAAGGCCCCTGCACAGAAAAAGCTAAAGGAAGGCACTCTAACACAGTGAATTTAGCCATCACTTATCGAGTGCATCACTAGGAAAAAAAACCCAAGGTAGCTGTAATTTCAATCTCTGCACTCCCTGCCTTCAAAGAGCTTCCAAAGGCAGCTTGAATTCTTCACCCTGATGCTGGCATGCTCGCAGTGACATTGGAAGGCCCTGCTGGCAGTCGCTGCTGTCACAGCCCCAGCTCCCCGCGCTGGCAGCAGCAGGAGCGGCTGTAACTGGATCCGCCCCAGCCCGGGCAGCCCCACTGCACAGCGGATATCTGCCCTGCACACCAACCATAGACTTGATGAAACATTATCATACATGAAGGACTAATTAGGTGTGCTGGGCCATTAGCCATCTCTGAACATTGACTGATGAAAAACGTAATTAATGGCAGCTTTCATAAACAGACTGCAGAATGGAGAATTGAATTAAAAGGAAAACAGCTGTTGCTAATGGAAATAAGGGCCATTTCTTGATTAAAATATCTGCCTGTCTTTCCGTGGGAGTTTTTCCAGAGTGGTGGGATGGAAGAGTGTAACGAGATCTGGGAGCAGAGAATCTGCAAAGCTTCCTGCTGAAGAAAGTACAACTTCTCTGGCTGGTGAGTCACAATGTTTTCCTTTTGCAGATTGGAGCAGGGGAAAGAACCATACAATTGCCTTGTTCATCTTGCTGCCAGTCTGAACAGCTTTATAAACCTTGGGGATCAACCCTGACATGTAGGAATCCATCTCAGCTTTAACATAATGTGATATTTCATTTTACATGAACCCACAGATATTGGAGGGTCTAGAATTCAAAAGCTACTTGCTGAGGCCCTACACGGTAGCACTGAGCTCTGAATCCAGGAGGCATCTCCACAAATCCCACTTAAGCACATCTATTGATTCTGACACCAAAGTGCAGCAGGAATCCACAGCTGAGAACATCTATCAAAGAGAGGCTTCCACCCAGAGACAGCCACTAGGGACTCAGTAAGACTTTGGTGACATGAGTGAAAGGGTCTGAATGACGGAAAATGTCAGAATCAAGGTTTTTTTCAGGTCACGAGGCCTTTCCTTCATGCTGTGCTGACTCTGACTCCCACTGACAAGAAATACTGCAGGATAAGCCTACAGTACGGAAGAATTAACATCCAGATTTTCATAGGGACTGAGCAGCACAGCTTCATCTGCCTCCTGTGGCAGAAATCACACTGCAGTGGGGTGAAAGGCTGCTTTCTGAGTTTCTGAAGCCATTTACTTCTACATTTACTTCATTTAGCATAAAAAATTTCAGGGTGCTTCCAAGTGCCACTGGGACCCGCGTATCAGTGGACATAGCCTTCTCAGTTTTGCCCTGTGTGTGTCCTCTCCAAGGCTCAAGGATGCTTTAGTGACTCTTCATATAAAGTCTTGAATGACAGGGTTGATTGCCTGGGAGGGCACGTGCTGCAGATGAATTTTGGTGCTTCACTGTTGAGCTGCTCTCTGTGGATCTGCGCCCCACTGTGCACCCGGGGCAGGAGAGCTCTGCTCTGCCGCTCTGACTCCATCAGTCTTCTCTGCCTCGTTGAAAATGATGGATCTTTCCCATCAGTGATGCCTGAGAGCTAAGCCCTGCAAACCCCAAGCCCCACAGAGGCTGCTGACAAGGAAATCCACGCTCCATCCCAGCCGTGCCCCGAGGAACGGAGGCGCATGAAAGGCTGCGCTCAGCCGCATTATCAGATCCAAAGTGGAAACCAAAGAGAGAGGAAGGTCTGAAAGATGAGCCAGATGGGAATGCCTGTTGCTTTCACCTTTGATCCACATGGTGCTTTGATGTGGTATTTCAGTCCTTCAGACGAGGTAACTTATCCCAGTCTGCAGCTCAGGGCACTCTGATGGATATAAATGAGGCAGCAAGCCGAGCTCCTGGGCTCTCGCTGAGCCACTGCCGCTCAGAGGCATAACTCAGCCCCAGCTCCTTCCAGTGCCCATTTTTTTTCTCTGGCTGCAGAGTCTAAAAGGAAATTCCCTCAAATAAATACAAAAGCACTTGATGTTCATCTAATGGCATTTCAGGGAAAGGAAGCATGAAGCCACACAAGTTATTCATCTCCATAAAATGGTTTTATCAGGACCCAGAACACAATTCCTTAGCCTGAGGTGGTCTGATCTTCTTTGTGAGATGTAAATGCATGACATTATGTGCAGAATGGGTGCTGCTTAAGAACCCAGATAGATACAGAGCAGGCATGTGGGAATGATCAGCATAAAATATTTCCTTTTAATGATGTGGACACTTCTGTTCCTTTGAGGGAGAACAGTATGTGCAGTGAATACTTCAGCACATTTTTCTAGTGATATGGAGGTCTTGATCTGCTGGTGAGGGCTCAGACTCAAGTGTTATTTGTGTCACTCTCAGCCAAAGGTTTGCTTCTCCATTGCTCTGTGCATGGAAAACCCAGGTTTGCCAACAGCAAAATAGAAACCAAGTCCACATCCATGTGCTCACCATTTGGGCAATAACCCAACCTGGAAAAACAGGCTCCAAACATCCTGGGGTTAGCTACTCTCTGCAGTCAACACGAGAAATCTGTCCCAAAGAACAGAAAGCGAAGCATTAGTTTAAACAAGGGCTCCTCAATGTGCACATGAAAAAATCCTGGGAAGGGAGAAAAGCTGGAGCTGTTCTTACTTGCTACCTCCTGTACAGGCTTTAATTGCACATTATTCATTAATCCTTTGCTCTTCTGAGCAAACAGATCTGTTTCAAGACACTTGTATTACATAAAAAGCCAGAAACCCTTCTGGATGAGTGTGTATGCACACATTCACCCAAAGGAGCACTGCTGTTCCTCATTTCCCTGTGCAAGTGCTGTGCTAGAGCTGACAGAAATTAGCATCTGTTGTGTGGCTTTGTTGGGCTGGTTTTGACATTGGTTTTACAAAATCCACATGGGAACCCCAAGATAATTGCCTGGAACACTCTCAGGAGTGGCACTTATAGGGAGAAGGGTCTGCAGGACTGCTTGGAGCTACAGGAGGCACCTCACTGTCATCCCCCAGCATTTGTGCCTGCTGTCACCCCCCTGTGTTTGCTCTGCTGTCAGACTTCATGAAGATTAGATATTCAATTCTGGTTCTACAACTGCACTGACCACAGTTTTGATACTGTTTTGTGATATGGTTTCATGATCATTAATGGACAGCATCATTTGATCCCTGGGCCATGGAAACAGCAAGAGACTAACAACTGTGCTGCAGGAGAGGGCAAATTCTCCTTGTCCAGGGGTTTGATCTCTGTTACACAGCTGCCATCATGCTTAAAATGGGAGAAAAGTTATCCAGAAACAGAAATGAGGAAGAGAAAGGTGAAGAAGCAAATGCAGGGAGCACAGAAATGTGTTCAAGGGTCCCTGTCGCTCTCAGACTACTCAGGAGAATCAAACTCAACTGTTGCTCTGCTGTTCTTCAGCAGCTCTGTTGTCTTCAATTCAATAGGAATGAATCCTGGTCCCACGGGGAGGAGAACAGGGTGACTGGTTCAGCAGGGGGACCTTCTGAGCTGGATCTGGAGCCAGAATAACAACTGGCCAAAGTTGTCTCTGATAGAACAGTGCCAAGCCCAGCTCGGCGTTCTTCAGCTCCCCTGAAGAGCAGGGACAAACCTGGCTGGGCTGGGCTGTGCTCAGCCTGGCTCACCCAGCTGTGGCAGGGCCCAAGCACAGCAAACCCCTCAGCCTGGTGGGCACTTGCCAGCCTGACAGGCCTGAGTTCATGAACTGCAGCTGGGGCTGGCCCCGGGTCCCGTTTTCCCTCGACATCCCCAGCAAACCCAGTCAGGCCTCACCACAGAGCCTGGGAGACCGTGGGCAGGAAGGGATCAAATTTTCCAGTTTTGCCTCGAGTGTGTCACCACATCAGCACACAACTGCTTCGCCTCATGCCAGTGTGTTGTGTCACACCTCATATTTCACAGGATAAAACACAGCCCAGCGATGTGAGTCCCTTCTCTTGCAGGGCTGCTGGTATTTCTGGAGATAGCCATTAGCAGGAAGCCAGGGTTTAGGGCACGCAAGGGCTGGTGGTGGCACAGAGCCCTTGCTACTGGTGGGTGGGATTGCTTTACCTCTCCCTGAACTCCAGCCAGGCCACTCAGCACATCTCCAGCCACAAGAAGTTTCCAGCTGTTTTGGTTTGAAGCACCAGAGGAGGGGGAGAAGCGGGGGAGGCTCTATCAGCTCTTCCCAGGGAATGTGGTTCAGTTCCTCGCACCTCATCTTTGGTCAGGAAACTGAGATGGGGATAGGCAAAGCTGCTGAGCCTACTTAGACAGAATACCTCAAGAAAATATGCAGAGCCAAATTATGTCTTGCTAACTTCTCCCAGCCCAACACCTTCCACAGTTCTGCTGCAGGGAAGTGAGGGCAGCACTGGGACCTTTTCCTTGGCCCCTGCTATGGAACAGCTCCTGGGCTCTCACAGGCTCTCAGTGGTGGGGAAAGTCACTGCTGGGAGCTGGGACACTGAGGCACCAAGAACAGCAGATTCAGGCAGATCCCAGATTCCACGGTCCTTGTGCCCAGTGTTTCCTGCTGCTGAGTGATTCTGACAGCCTCTTCTATGGGTTTTAAGAGGGACACAGTGGAGAGAAGCCAGGGTGAACATTCCCATGCAAGGAAAATGAGGTGGCTGTGTCAGAGGAACTGGCACAGACTGGATCCAGCCCTCCCTTGGGAGCAACAATTCAGCCACGGGTCTCTGGTTTTTTCCTACAACTCAGCTCAGGGTTTCGAGAGCCCTGAGCCCTCTGTGGGCAATGGTGGATGTACTCCAAGCATGGGAAGACATGGCCACCCCTGAAAAGCAAGGCCAACATGCCCTGGACTTCCTTTCCCAGCAGGGATACAACAAGGGCAGCACAGCACAGAGATGGGGGCACACACCCTGCAGAGCACAGAGCCTCCCAGATCAGCCTCCACACAGCAGCAGGGAGGTGTGGGGTCAAAATAACCCAAAATAACCCTCTGCCCACTGCTGACACCACCCACATCCTAACCATCATCCACATCACCACCCACATCACTCACAACCTGGTCCTCTCTGAGCAGTGGGGATGGCCGGGGGAGCTCAGGGCAGGGTCAGTGAAGGGGGCATTCATTGTCACTGCAGAGCAGCTGGAGCCACAGACAGCAGCTGAGGGGTCCAGGCCCAAAGCCAGGCACGGGGACATCAGTGGGAGGTGAGACTCCCAGAGAGGAGTCTGGGCCATGTGAGCCATCCAAGATCAGGCATCCATGACTCCAGAGGGATAAAACAAGGGTAGCTTGGAGAAAAAACAATTGTTGTGTTTCAATCCAGCAGGCAGCAAAACACCACCCAGGCCTCACTCAATCCCCCATGGTGGGATGGGGAAGATGATTGGAAAATGGCAAAACTCATGGGTTGAGACAAAGACAGTTTACTAGGACAGAAAAGGAAGGAAAATAATAAAGATAAAAGAATACACAAAACAAGTGATGCACAGAGCAATTGCCACTCAGTGGGCAATGTCCAGTAAGCCCCCAAGCAGCACTGATCACCCTCTGGCTAACTCCCACCATTTTTTTTTTTTTGTCCAGCATGCTGCCACATGCTCTGGAATATCCCTTTGGTCTGTGGATCAGCTGTCCTGGCTGTGTCCCCTCCCAGTTTCTTCTGCCCCCTCCAGCCTCCTTGCTGGCAGGGCAGCATGAGAGGATGAAAAGTCCTTGGCCACTGCTCAGCAACAACTAAAACATTAACATTATTCTCATCCCAAATCTGTAACAGCTACTAGGCAGAAAAAAATAACCTTCCTCCAGGTGAAACCAGGATGTTGTCAAATCAGCATCACAATCCCTTGCCTCAGTTTCTTCAAATTGGAGACAATAGGATGTGTTCCCATGAGGCTCTGGGGAGTGGAAGTTCTCAGATAGTGGAGACACTGTAATTCTTTTATCTGGGCAACAGGAAGAAAAGAGAAAGAAATAAAACCAGTTCATTTCTTGGAGCTGCTCTTCTGATGTTCCTTGCAATCCCTCTGTTTTGATTTCAGATGTATGGTCTGCTCTGGGTTTTTGGTCTTTTTCCCCACTGTGATGCTATTTATGGCAAAATGGGGATTTCATCATCTCCCCATGGCCATTCTCAGCAGCTGCTCTTGCCCCCCTCCCTGCCCTGCTCCCCTTGCTCTAATAAACTTTTGTTGCTTGGTCCAGTTTCCTTCCTTGCACATCATCTCTTACATCACCTCTGTGCTTATCTCAGGTTCTATCATTTCCTATTTCCAAGCACTCCTGAGAACAGCAATAAACACCATGATAAGCAGAGTCTTGGCATGACACAGCAGCTGCAGGCAGTGCTTCTAAGTGACAGAAAACCAGCCTGGAAATCTGACATTTCTTCACCACAGGACACCCACTTGGTAATAACTGGGCACCAGTTCGTTAAGAAAATCAGTGTGTACAGTTCCTCACCCTACAGGAAGATCTAGGCCAAAAAAGTGAAGATTTGTTAAGCAGGACCCCACTCTTACGTGCCCTCTGCTGCTCCCAACTGGCATTGAAGTTCCCTCTTTTCAGATGATTTATGGCTAAATGCTCTCATTATAAAGCAGAACCAGACTACTTCTGTGCAAGATAACACTCATTAGGCAGACTTTCTGACTCGATTTTTTTCGCTGTTTCATTGATTATTTTTACATTGTAATGTGCAAAAACCTATTCATGTCTTTATTAGCCTGACTTGTTTCCTACGTTTATGGAAAAGATCTTTCTTTGATAAGAGTTGTTATTGCTGGAATGAATGTCAGACCATGATCTGCTGTAATACATCTTTGTGAATTGCCTTCTCTAATTTTATTAGTTGAAAAAAACCCCCACCTCATTTAAAGAGATAAAACCTTCTGGAAGTGGAACATTGCCACTAATTAGGATAACAAGAACATAGGTATGAGTTGCTGGGGATACTGGAGTCTAAGCTTCTTTTTCTAACACAAGAAGAGGCATATTTTCCTGGAACAGTCTTTCTTCTCCCTCTGAAATTCTGCTGCTTTGAGGGAAATTATTGACATTAATCTCTTTATCCATGATTCCCTTAGGAAAAATGCTGACCAGGATTCAGCAGCTCCAGATTCAGGTTCTGGATTTGCTACAAATACCCTGCACGACCTTGAGCAAGCCACTGCTGTCCTGTGACTTAGTTTTTCCATCTGTAAAATGGCAGTAACGATGAATGCTGTGTTTTATTGCCAGCTCCTGCATTACACATATCTGCAGAGAGCTGCTCACTGAATCTCCTCATGCCTTGGCACCTCATCCCTAAAAGGGGAATAATAATATTTCTCTTGTCTACTTATTTTGACTACATTTTGTTCATGTTTGGATGTACTGGAAGTACTGTGGGAGTCTGCCCCAGGATGCAAACAGCACATTTAGCACATTTCT